GAAAAAATAGAATTTCCCAATGACCCTAAGCAAATGCAGAACTTGTGCAAAGACCTTTATGTGGTCCCTGGGAATCCTCTCTTTGTTTTGCTAACAATTTTAGTGATAATTCACGTTTTCCAAACACTGGCATAGAATTCTTAAGAAAAACACAATCTGCTTGATTTTCCAGGTGGATTTTGTTGCAGTGTGATGCCATTTCCTGTTTCACCTATCCCAACCCCTCAGGTGTGCCAAGCTCTCCTTTCCCCTCCCCCTTGCCTCCTGCTAAGTGCTGTCCGTCAAGCTTAGCATTCCAGCAAGGGCGTCATGTGATTGGCAGAAGTTCAAAAGATGCTTCTCAGACCTGGGGTCATTGGCCTGTCTAAGTGTCATTGTCCCCTGAGACTCACCCGCTCCCACCTGGTTGGTGGCTCACCTGTCCTTTACCTCCCCCCTCCCCCTGGGCTTAAAAGGACACTCAGACCATTCGGTCGGGATTCTGTTGGAGCCATTACCAAGATTCAGATGTCAGTGACCCTGGATTTATCCTCCAGCAGAATCGGTCTCCTTTTTCTTCCTCACCTCACCTAGAGCCTTTTCATCAGAGGTAATAACTGAATTCCTACAAGCCTGGACTTGTTCCAAGTGCCTGGCTGCAATTTCCAGCTAGCCAAAGGTGTCTCTGAGGTGAAATACCACAGCTGCCGCCTTTGGTCCAGCAGCAAGGGTCAGACGAGCCCAGGCACGTTCCACCCAGTAATACTGGGATCTTATTCCATAGGTTTAAGCACTGAGTATGTGAGCCATGAACTCTGGAGAACACTCCCTGAAGGTCGGCAGCATTGGGTCAGGCTCCGCAGAGCTCCATGTGAGATGTGGGATGCACCTCAGGTTAATGACTTGCAATTGCATGCAGCCTTCCCAAAAGCTGTACATATAGTTAATGTGTATCAGAACTTAGCAAGACTATTCAAGTTACTTCAATTTCCCAATGATTTATGATGTAGGTTTCTGACATTGTTGGTTATTTATCTGTCCTCGGAGTGTTGTGAGCCAAAGCAAAGAGGGGAGAAACAGATGCAGTAAAATTATGTTTGAACAAAGGTTCAGATGTTTTCAGAGACAGTACATGTTGGATAAAAGGGTAGTGAAGGACTTGAAAGTCAAAAATCTAGAAGAGACATAAGTCCAGTCCAGAGTCAAAGAAAGTAAAACGGGTTTTCCTCATTTTTATTCTCCAATGGATCATTTCCTGACTCTGGAAGATGGATTCTATTAATTTAAGTAGTTTCCAGGGTGTATTTTATATTGCAGACTGGAAGATTTTTACGATATGCCACTTACAAATTTTCATAACCCTAAAAAGTTAGGGTTTTCAGTAGGAGAAAAACCCACTTCAGACACAGTACTTAAGTAAACAGGCCAAATTCTGTTCTCAGTTGCAGCTGTGCAACCCTCATCCTTAGTGCACGAAATATTTGAGCTTAGTAGAGGTTGTGGATTGAAGACCTGAGGTTCCAAAATGCACCCTCAGATGCATGTGTGTGGCTAGGACTGAAACCAGTGGGACACCCATATGTTCATCCGGGATAGACTTTGGCTTGTGATTTTTATTGTTTGGACTATAGGATAAAATTGATTTCAGTGCTACATTTCTCAGTCAGAGTTATTTCTACATCATCATGCATCAAAATGTTGGCTCTGATCTCTTCTTCTTAATGGCAACTTTGAAGAGTATTTGTTTTCTGATTAGTTTGGGCCCAGCATTAATCATTCTCAGGCTTCCTCTAATACTATTTTTTTAATTTTACTGATGGCAGATTTAACTGTTGGCTCACCGTTATTTCCAAAACAGATGAGTTTTATTAGTCTCTAATATTAGCCAGATCCAACTAGTTGATAAAGTTAAACCAGTGTGGGCCAGATGCTCAGCCTCAAACTGCAGCCCTATTGATCTGGGTACCCTGTCTGGAAGAGTCTGACAGGGTGCCCAGTCAGGAAGGAGAAGAGCCCCAGATCACATGTGCAACCATGTAGAGCTGAAGGTCTGATTCCTTGGCTCCTTTGGGTGCTCTAAATCAACAAAGAGAACTATTAAATTCACTGCTTTGTAACCAGAAGGAAGATGACCTTTCAGGGAGTATGTTTTAATAATTGGAGAGGTCTATTTCACAGAATTGTTAGGATTGAAAGAGACCTTTGTAAGTCATCAAGTCCAACTCCACCCTGCAATGAGCAGGAACATCTTCAACTAGTTCAGGTTGCTCAGAACTCTGTATTTCTTCATGTTGGTGGAAGAATGATTTGGAACAAGACAGTAAAATCTTTGGCAAGGAGCTGGGGGTTGTTCTTGAATTAGTAGCTTACATTTCCTAACATTTTTTATCTTTGAAACTCGTGTCAGTCACTAATCTAAAAGCCAGGATTCAGGAACACGAGTAATTTTCCAAAGGACATTTCTTCTTTCTTGTTTAGTTTTTACTTCTGCTTTTCTTTCTCCTGGGGAATGAGAGTAGCAGTTTGTGCGTGGCTCTAAGTCCACAGGAAGCATTCAGCAGGGCCATTTGCAAGGATTGTGTAAAGGCTCAAAAATGAGAGGGGAAATGTGTGCCAAGAGGAATTTCATGTTGCCACCAGGTGGGCTTAGGGAGGTTCTGCAGAATGGATGAAACATCTAAATATTTAGGAACATCATCTCTAGCAGCTTCAAAAGCAGCAAAAGAAGGAGTGCTACCTCTTTCAGTGCTGCTATGTCAGTAGCTGTTACAGGTGCAGCCTACTGCTGAGGATTCATTTGTGTACTTTGAATAGGACAGACAGACCTGAATGCTTTCAAAGCAGACTTATGGGACTTATTCAAACTAATTAGGCTGAATTTAAGAACTCTCAGTTCTCAAGTAATTCTTAATTACAGGATCACAGGAGGATTCAAGTCAGAGAGGACTTCAGGAGGCCTCTGAGCAGGAGCCTCCTGCACAAAGCAGGGTCAACTATTGTCTGGGTATTTAAAAAAAGTAAAGATGACTGAAAATAATACTTATCAAATTTTAGTTTTAAACATAAGTGTGACTTCTCTCAGAGCTCATATAGCCTTTAAGAGAAAGCCTAGAACCCAACCTAATGAATTTCTTTATAATTCCATGGCTAGAAGTTGTTTTTTAGAACAAATTGCAGCAGAATTGTATGTCTTTCACCTGGTGTGAATTCAGCATCAGGCCCTCGGTGCTGTACAACAGCATTCCATGGCTGAGAGCAGGCAGGACAGACAACAAGCTTCGAATTAAACAGCAGCATGCCATTGGTTCTTATATCTTTCATGTAATTTTTACCTTCACTCAGGAAGCCCAAGGCAAGTCAGAAGGACACATTTGTCCCGGAGTGCTAGATGTGTACGTTGCCAAGGCAGTGACAGGTTCTGCACCCATACACAGCACTAATTTTGCTGTCTGTAGATTTTTCTTGATGTTTATTGGTAACAAAAATATTTGCAATGTGGACATTAATTCCCGCAGAATTAATCACAAGCGGATCTGCAGAGAATGGTTTCCCTCAAAGTGGTTTTATCTGTAGTACACATAACAATTTCCATTTTTCCTGAGAAAGACAATCAGCTCTTTTCATTTCCCCAGTTTATTATGAGTTCTTTGTCCTGTGCCTTGGTCTGTTTGTGTAAAGTCTTATGGATCTTTTTCCATGGCTTCTGAACTGAGCTAGGAGGTCAGATCATGGACTTCTGGGGAGAACAAAAGGTGCTTTACATGGAAGAGCCCTATGTTGGATTGTTTTCCTTGTGAACGTGGTAGCAATGTGCTTCACAACTGAGTTTGCTACTTGTGTGTCAAAATGCTGTCAGCCGTGGACAATTGTACTATAATATGAAGAAAAGACTAGGGAAAAAAGATCAAGTACTTTGGAATATTTGGGCTCCTGGGACTTTTGAATTGGGTATACAAACTTGGCCACAAAATTATCAAAAACTGTAGCTTTGGCTGAAAACTTCTCAATGGGTGTTATTAAGCCCTGTTTCAAACAGTGCTGGTTGCCTGTGACACCACTTATTGTTAAAGACAGATTGTGACAAGAACAGGAGCCACAGTGTGAGGTGTATCAGGAGCAGCAGCTAGCAGCATATCTATGCTGTGCTGGCCAGAGGCTTGGGGTAACACCACTGTGCACACCAGCGCTGTCCTTGCACTAGCTCTCCTGTTATGCCTAATTATTTATTTGGGATACTTGCTGACCTCATACAGAATGTTTACAATGCTTGTGATAGTTTTATCTATAAATACAAAACCCAGAGAGTGTTGCTTTTTTCAAATTTTATCAGGGGAATGCTGTGAGACTAAGTTGTTTCCAACCTTAGACACTTCTAGAGCCCAGTATCCCAAGCACAGTAGCTGCCACTATACTTGAATGGCCAGCTTGGACATTTTAATAAATCCTTCTCCACAATCAGATCAATGGAGAACAGTTTCACATACCTTCATTTTTCTCAAAAGATTTCATGCAAAAACATTTACAATTGCACAATGTCTTAATGTTTATATGCTTTAAAATCTACCAAAAAATCTTAAAAAAATTATGCAGGTTAATAATTACATGCAAGAACCATGCATGAAGTTATTCTCAAAAAATTTACATTAGCTGAGCAAAAAATGACCTTTTCATTCAGTTAGGGCTTAGCTCGGTGCCAGCATTACTCAAGCAATGATAGATCATATGGACCTTGATTGTATCTTAGAGAATTAGGTTGCCCAATGATCATCCTTATCCTCTGTCAACAGGGAATGAGAGTCCAGGGCTGTATAAATAGTGCAAAGAGAATGCTGCACTGAACAGTGTAACTTGGAAATACACCTTGGAAATAAGCTCTGCCGACATGGATAACCAGGCCTTTTTGAAAAGCCGTGGATGAGCATTGCTGTTCTTTCTCTGCATATCATGTGTTGTCACTGGTAAGCATATGGAGAGAGGAATGAGTAACCAGTAGCAAATAACATGTGTGTGAGCAAACTTACCTCCTGCAGTGCAATTCTGTCACTGTCGGCCTCCTTTCAGTTCTCTTCAGAAGAATTCCAGAAAATCAGATGGATTTTAAGCCAGTGGACTGATTACACAGCCACCAAGTCATAAGGGTAAAGCACTCTATGACTATCCTCAAGAGTCCATTAAAGCCCTGCTGAAACATGATCTACGCTGATTAAAGGGAGAGGGGGAGGGAGAAGTTTTTGGGCTGTAATGCACTGAATCAAAGAGATCAATAAGTGAAGCAGGGTGATCTGAGAATCAGCCTGTACTAGCAAATGTTTTAGTTCAGCTTCACTGGGAGAAACAGCATCCTGGATTCTTCCATCAGCTCCGTGGGAATCAGATCAATTTAATGGGTTTACAGGGAGGGTGGGGAGGTTAGTGCTGTTAATGGAAAAATACTGACAACTGTATCAAATGCTGCTGCTAATTTGAAACATTAGCAAAGTCTTCCAAAGTAGTGTTTCACCTCAATTGCCTTAGGGAATAATTTAGCTGTAATTGGAGAGTAGCTTAAAGTTATGTGCATTTCTGAAACTCAAGAAGGAAAAGGAACTCAGCAAGGAAGAAATGCCCATCTCTTCAGTCTATAGGGAAATTATTAACTTGGCAAAAACACGGGTGAAAGTTCAGTGATTGAGCAAGCTGACAGCGTGGAATCAGAGAGTAGGGGAATGGAGAAGAGGGCAGAGAACCAGCCTGGTCTTCAGAGACAGGCTTTACACTGAAATCGGCGTTGTGCTATTGAAGCACAGCAGAAGCATTTATCAGACAAGACAAAAAAGAGAGATGAATGAAAGTAACAAAGAGGCCCCTCGGAAAGTCCAATGAATTGTGAGAGCTCACAAAAGACACGTAGGGTTGAATGAGGATACTGAAAGAAAGTGATCCTAGGTCATGTGTGCTGTTCTTGCAAGGTACAATCAGCCCACCAGGATGTCAGCTCTTGCTGCCTGGGAGATAGTGCCCTTGCTCAAGTTTTCATTTTGCTCTGTGCCCCAGCTGGGAATCCCACAGAGAGCCTGTTACCCAGGGAGCTCAGTGCTTCCTAGATGTGGACAATATCTGTGAGGTTTCTGACTTGGAGTACCCAAACCCATTATATTCTGCTGGAAAACAGTTACATCCTTTCTTGTAGCTGAGAAAGGAAAAGGAACAGTTCAAAATAGTATTTCACAACTGCTCAAAGTCATCAGTTGATCCTGTTTGATATTAGCACTAGTATCACATTCAAGGAGGAGTTATTACTGCAAGGGCATATTTGCTGATTTAGAAAATCAGCAAGGAAGTGAAGGAAGTTGAGAATGACAGAGTGTAATTTTTGATGGGGCATTCAGATATCTGGGTTTTTCTCCTAATTTTCTTTTTTTTTTCTTAAGTACTGATGGTGGTCACTCTTAATGAGTAAGACATTAATAAGCTACGAGAGCACTGGGATAAAGCACTGGACTTTGAAAACATGCAGTCTTTAACCTAAAGTAGTTAGTGGTAAAGGAATTAAGCTGGCTTTGAAACGCCAGATGTATTTTACTATACATATTTTATTATACACAATGTCTTTTAAAAGTGGTGTTTTCTGCAAGCTTGGAAAGAGAATCAACAGCAATTTTGCATGGAATAACTAGAGTTATAGCTACTTAAAAGTTATTCTAAAGATCATTCCAGATGAGAAAGTGATGAGCTGGCATAGGTTTCTTAATATCCGAAAAACAGAGATTAGTGTACAACAGTGTTCTGCTGGGATTATTCATCATTCAGCCTTCTACCAGAGATAAAGATTGCTTTGAGAACATCTTATGAAAGAAATGTCATGTCATTTCTATTTTTCTCATGTTCTTTTATTGACAATGGCGACTGCTTTGAAAATAACCATTCTTAAATGCAGAAGCTTTTACATAATTATATAAATTTTTAAAATCTGAAATGGGGGAAACACTGCAGAATGACTCCTCATTATTTTGACCCTCTAGGTCCAAAAGCCATTGACAGAGGGCATGGTATTGCACTTCTTTGGCTACAGCATCAGCAGGGACCATCCCAGCACTGGGGCCACAAACCCTGTGTCACAACCTGAAATCTGCTCAAACATTTCTCTTAGGACTGGCCAAACTCTTTGAAATGCTGAGTTGTGGAAGTCAGCACATCTTTCTAATTTAAAGATCAAATTGAATTAATTAACCAGCATATTATCTAAGACAAAAAAAAAAATCTCCTGTTGGTACTTATATGACCAAACTCAGACAAGAACTATTTCTCTCTCTCTTTGAGAGAGAATTGCAAATAATGGTGATTTCTGAGTAGGAGTAATCACCTAGGAGACAGCTTCCTCAAGGATTTGAAAACCAGCAGTGGCAATGGCAGCAAGAGTTTCAGGCCTCTGATCCTTGCTGTTTGCAACAACTAGAGGATACATCCTTCTTTTTGCTGGCCATTTACATCCTACTGAGTGGCAGCTTCTGTGTCAGTCTGCAAACCTCTAGGCAGAGTGTTAGTTGTAGTATTTCCCAGAGGGCACTGCAAGATGAGCTACACAAGTACAGATCTCGAGGAGAAATAAATGTACAGAAGAGACCATATATCAGAATTATTTAAGGACTTTTAGTTGCAGAGGGGCACTTGTGGGTTTCTTATTTTCACTGTCAGTCAATTTGATACCCAAATGGACTACTTTTTGAGTAAAACCTCTATATCTCTTCCACAAAGGACCAAAACAGACTCCTGAAACATCCTGAAATGATAAATGCAAGGATGTTGTACATACAGCTTAGTAGCTGCGGTCCTCTCTGTAGAGATTTGAAGCTGTAATAAACAATTACAATGCAGGAAATACGTGCCAAGTAACATTGGGAAGGAGTATCTGTGGGATTCTCAGGACAGTTGGCATTGCCTGGACACAGTTTCAATGAACTGAGAAGCAGATGAACCAATGTCAGAGGGTAGTGCATATTTCTTATGGGAAGTGTAAATTCCGTGTGTTGAAAAGGGGAAGCACGATTGAGAAACAGCAGTCTGCAGTCAAAAGAGATGAGAAAGGAAATCACAACTGCTTGGAATTCCAGACATTTAAACAAATGAGAATAACATTTCTAAGCAATAGAGGGATAGAAGAATGAAAAGCATGAGGAAATTGCATGCTGTGATTTAAAAATAGCCTGGCGCAAGCCAGGACAGCCCTGCTGAGTGTGGAGGGAGCTGTGCAGCTGCAGGATCATTTCTGCCTTACATGACTTGGGGCAGACGCTGGAGCTCTGAGCTCTTCCTCTGTCCCAAATCTGGGAACTTTAATGGAGCACTGCTGATGAGGTTAGAGAGCCAAGTTATGCAGTTAGAGAAGAGTCAAGACACATGTAACTTTGGGCTCTCTGGGATGGAAGGGGAAGACGGTGCAATATCAAAGGAATCACTAGTGTGGAAAGAATATGTGGAAATTCCTAGTTCACAACTGGAGCTATGTAAAACTTGGCCCTTGTTCTTTTCAGAGATTTGCTGTTTTCTCTTTTATGTCAGCTCATGCAGGCTTGCACCCTCTGGCTTTTCTTTTGTGTTCTGGGAATTGAATAAACCCTGGAAATAGTGAGAATCATCTGGTCTCACAACCTAACCATGCAAAATCCCCTGGCTGGAGTGGTTTTGATGTGAAATCATAAATCAGTCCAGGTTCACACAAAGGGTTTCTGAGCTGCAGCAAGCTTTAGACAAATATGAATGTGGTTTTTTCATATTTTTGTTTAAGTTTTCCTCTTAATTTAATCCCTTCTGTGTTTTTTTCATTAATAAACATCTGGAAATTGCATAAGCTGTATTAATGGATTATTATCTTCTCCCTCTCTCCCCTATCTTGGTGTATAATTAACTTTTCTTTTTGCTGTCTCCTTTTCTATTCCACACACAAGTGCACTTGAAAAAAAGCCTCAAGGAAGATTGTTGCTAGGACTATAGAGCTTTAAGACTCAGAAAAGAATGTATTCATACATCACACCAAGTAAGGAGCTGAAGTATACTTCTCTCTGAGGTCTAATTTTGGTATGTTTGAACTATCAACTGATCTTATAATGGAAAAAAAAATGTATTAGAGTTTTGCATGAAGATCATGAGGCATAAATATATTCCTTTAGGTAGACCACTGACCAGTCATTAATTTTACTTATTGCTTTTCTTATTGCCACAGTTCCATCAAACTCAAAGCTCCAATGTTTATATTGCACATTCAAAGAGCCAAGAGGAGTAAAGTTGTATATCTAATCTAGTCATACTTTTAAAAAGCTTTTAACTGAGACCTTCATAGAACACAAGAGATGCCTAGAGAGTTTGAGGTTGGTGAGCAAACACAGCATCAACAATCCTGTTCTAGTGGATTTAGAAGTGATGTGGTAATGAATTGTGTGCAGAGAGACTGCAGGGGGGTGAGAATAGGTGGGGGAAAGACAGACACTAAGCTGCCAGTGGCTTAGTGCTGGGCCCAAGACTTCAGTTGGCTTTCCAAATGCTGAGTCATACAGACAAAATATTTTTGTTGACTTGCTATGTATTTTTAAGTATCTGTTACAGATTTTATAAAAATAAGTAACACAGAAAAATTTACAGCTGTGAAAACATATTTTTAATGCAAAATGTCATTATACCATCCACAATCCAGTGTGTTTTATAGTCATCATGTTTCTATTTGCCTGATATATAGGTGCTGATGTATGAAGAGGAAGAAGAGTAGATTCCTATCAAGAGCAGCCAAGAGCCAAAGTCCCTACAAATCTCCCTTCTAAGAACCCTTTCCACATCTGCATCTGTTATTGCTATAGGTTCTGTAATTTTTTAATCAATCTCTTTCATTAGGTTTGGGCAGTTTTGTCCCTCTCTTTTCGTATTTGAAAGGACAGAAGGAGGAATGTGTCTGGCAGACTGGGATGATACTTTAAGAGAAAAACCAAATTATGCTTTGCAGATTTGTGGCTTAGCATAGATTTTTCATTTTATAAGGAGATGCTATTTTTGTATTACTGGTCAGGCTTATATTCCTGGTTGTTGGGCAGGGCAGTTCAAATTCTCTTTGATTCTATATTACTTGGTCTTTAACTACCAGTTTTGAAAGATTGTTTGGTCCTGTAATTTTTTTCTCCATCTTTTTTTGGCATTCATTATTATTTCTTAGCCATTGTACATTATTGCACTGTGAGGCATAATCTTCCTGCATGCGTCCACCTATATTTCAACAATGCAAGGACAGTAATCATGATAATATCTTCCTTCTTGCAGTAGACTATGTC